ACCCTACTCCATCACACAACCCACACCATCACACACCCCACTCCATCACACAACCCACACCCTACTCCATCACACAACCCACACCATCACACACCCCACTCCATCACACAACCCATACCCTACTCCATCACACAACCCACACCATCACACACCCCAGTCCATCACACAACCCACACCCTACTCCATCACACAACCCACACCATCACACAACACACACCATCACACACCATCACACAACACACACCATCACACAACCCACACCATCACACAACCCACATCCCACTCCTTCACACACTCCACACCATCACACACCATTACACAACCTACACCATCACACAACCCACATCCCACTCCATCACACAACCCACACCATCACACAACCCACACCCCACACCATCACACACCCCACCCCAACCCACACCATCACACCCCACACCATAACACACCCCACACCACCCCCCCCCACCACACAACCCACCCCCCATTCCACCACACAACCCACCCCCCATTCCATCACACAACCAATACCCTACTCCATCACACAACACACACCCTGCTCCATCACACAACCAATACCCTACTCCATCGCACAGCCCATACCCTGCTCCATCACACAACCAACACCATCACACACCGTTACACAACCTACACCACCACACAACCCACCCCCCACCCCATCCCACATCCCACCCCTTCACACACTCCACACCATCACATACCCCACACCATCACACACCCCACACCATCACACAACCCACACCCCACCCACATCACACACCCCACACCATCACCCACTAGAGTATAAGGTTAGTTATTATAGGGGGCAAGTTAGTCTAGTGGTAAGACGCCAGGCTCGTGACCGATGAGTTGCAGGTTCAAGTCACTGCACTGTGTTGTATCTTTGAACAAGATACTTTACTCCGCTTGTTCTAGTCTTCTCAGTTGTAAATGAGTATGTGGTTGGGCAGTGCCAGAATTGTTGAATGCTAGCTCTGAGCACCTAACCGGCAGCTCTGGCTATACGATCCCCAGGGAGTTGAGAAAGATATTGGCTGGTTGTATAGGCCCTATAACCACAAATAATAGGTCGTGAACCGCTTTGAGATGACCTATGGCATAGGTTGTGATAAAGCAGTATATAATACAAGAAACTTGAATTATCACTTTTATTATTATCATATCTGGTTCTGTCCACAGTTCCTGGCCAGCCTCCATCTGATGGACTACAGTCTTATTGTGGGAATCAACGACTGTGAGCGAGCCGACCGTGAGGCCACAGAGGCTCTTGTACAGGAGGAACCAGAGGAGGAAGAAGAGGATGAAAATGATACAGAGAATGGGATTTTAGAGGATGACGAGTATGATTATGGAGGCGTGCCAACTCCACCAGATAGTCCCCAACCTTTGGTCACGCCCCCATTTGCAGGAGAACTGGACAGTAACCTGGAGAGATTTGGTATAAAGAGTAGGGAGGGTAGGTCAGTGAGCAGTATTAATGGACAGTAACCTGGAGATATTTGGTATAAAGAGCAGGGAGGGTAAGTCAGTGAGCAGTATTACTGGACAGTCCCCTGGAGAGATTTGGTATAAAGGTTAGGGAGGGTAAGTCATTGAGCAGTATTAATGGACAGTAACCTGGAGATATTTGGTATAAAGAGCAGGGAGGGTAAGTCAGTGAGCAGTATTACTGGACAGTAACCTGGAGAGATTGGGTATAAAGAGCAGGGAGGGTAAGTCAGTGAGCAGTATTAAGGGACAGTAACCTGGAGATAGTTGGTATAAAGAGCAGGGAGGGTAAGTCAGTGAGCCGTATTACTGGACAGTCCCCTGGAGAGATTTGGTATAAAGGTTAGGGAGGGTAAGTCAGTGAGCAGTATTAATGGACAGTAACCTGGAGATAGTTGGTATAAAGAGCAGGGAGGGTAAGTCAGTGAGCAGTATTACTGGACAGTAACCTGGAGAGACTTGGTATAAAGAGTAGGGAGGGTAGGTCAGTGAGCAGTATTAATGGACAGTAACCTGGAGAGATTTGGTATAAAGAGTAGGGAGGGTAGGTCAGTGAGCAGTATTACTGGACAGTAACCTGGAGAGATTTGGTATACAATACAAATAAAAGATCAGGAAAATCAATAAAAGCTTGAAAACTAAATTATAATAGATCTATAGTGTGGGACTGTATGGTGAATATATAATTCAAAGGTCAAGGGTCAGGTAATAGTATAATTTAACATTTAAACCATGAAAGATGTCTTGATGAAACATAGATTGAACCTACACTATCCACAAGTTTGCAAGGTACTGTAGTTTATCTCTAGGTCAAAGGTCAAATGAGTGCCCACATGTGTGCAGGGTACTGTAGTTTGATCATTGTGACCTTTACCTCTAGATCAACGGTAAATTAACTGCCAACCAACTATACGTAATGGCTATAATTATAACTAAAGCTATTGTTGGAAAGAACAAATTTTGGTTTGATTGGAAGTGGAAATTGACGGAAAACAAAAGATTCGATGAAAAATACATACAACTAACAACATTCATTTTATATCAAATCTGAATGGTAGTAATTATATATAAATATTGTAAAATCAGTTACAAATGTCATAAATAATTAAACATTTCATATTTTTTTCTTAAATAGATGCACCCAAGAAGGAGATATACTTTTTAGCAATGATAGACATTTTGACTAAGTACGGAGTGAAGAAGAGGACCGCGCAGGCTGCAAAGACCATGAAGCATGGAGCTGGGGCGGAAATCTCCACCGTCAAACCAGAACAATACGCAAAGCGATTTCTTGACTTTATCAGCAAGTGTCTAGACTAAATTGCCCTTTGCATGAGAAGAAGACATACACCTGATAAGGAAAGTGATTTCTAAAGAAGAAAATACCCCTTAAGATGTACTTCCTCAAGACTTTTTAATGGTTTTTAAGCACTATGTCTCTAACTTTAGTTCAAACTTTTTCTCTTATTCTTTTGTACATTTGATGTGAAGAAAGATTCATTATTGAGCAAAATTCAAATTTGAACAAGGGTGATAATTTCAAGGGGAAAAAAATACTTAAAATTGAGAAAGCACCAGCTTAAAATTTGGTATCGATATTTTCATATTTGGTATTGAAATTTCCAATGATTATGTATGTAAAGATACCAATCTTCAAGGTGAACTTATGTTGTGGTGCTTTGTCTGTTGTCAGTCAGTTGGCAGTTGTCTGTTGTCAGTCAGTTGTATTCTGTCAACGTTGTCAGTTGTCTGTCAGTGTTTGCATTCAACAATATCTCCCAATCTGCCGTAAGGACCAACAGCTCTACTAAACAAGAGAATAACATTCCTCGGTTTCTTCTCCCAAATTACAGACAGATTTCAACATAAAAGGTTCACCACTGAAATAGCCAGGTGAGAAATTCAAGGCCGTATTGTCTCTAGCGTAATTGTTTATAATAATCTTTCTTTGCCTCAGTGTTGTAAGAATATTAGGACACACTGTTTATATAATCCATTCACAGTAACTTGCTTAGTCTGAAAATGTGATATATTATTGGATAGGTATTTTGGAACTTGTAAATCATTCAGTAGTTTCACCGACCCATCTGCAGCTTTCTTTGCCACCGACAATGTTATGTACTGGTGGTGTCTTCACTTGTCCAATTCTCACCGTGAATATAAATGGCTAAATATATGTAACAGATGTCATTAAATACTCGCTGATACTTGCAAAGGAATCGCTTTGACCCCTGGGAAACATGGTACGAGTTCTTTCCTGGAGGGGGAGTATGTCACCCTGGTAAAATACTAACAGCTTCCTATCGACTCGGCTAGGGAGAACTTTTTTTTAGCTCATTCGGTAGAGCATAAGACCAGTAAGCTAGAGGTCTCAGATTCAACTCCTAGCAGAGGCATTGAAATAATAATGACTTCTGTTACATATATGACTCACTTAGTCAAACGCATTACCTGCTTCTCACTGTGGCAGAAGACAAGGGAAGTAACTCTCGCCATACAATGTTGGTACAGTGTCCAAACAGACAGAGAAGGGGTAAACAACTACTATGTTTCCAGTGGTGATAAAGTAGGGATCTATACCTGTTAAATATAGTCATTTATTGAGGTTTTGTTGGTAGCTACAGTGACTACCTTCACAGCGTAAACAATGTAGCTATGAGTGAAAAAGTGCTTCAGGAATCAAAAGACCATGTACAATGTATCTATAGAAAGCTGATTTAGTGCCTGGGAGGTTTTAGTACAGTTGATTTTTGTTTTTATTTGCAACCTGACAAAATATGTCATTTTTATCTTAAGCCATGTTTGCCAATTTTTAAAAGTTGTCATTATATTTATAGGTAATTTAAGCTTGCAAAAGGGTCGACAGGTATTATATAAGGATAGAATATGTACTAGTGGCATTATTTTGTGAGCAATTCATTCTGTGTTTTAAAACAGGCAGTCATACAAATGATGCTGTCTATTGAACATTAGATTATCAACATTTAAACCAGTATTTACATAGGAAGGTATGGATAGCAGACATTAACCTATTATTTCAATGTTGAAGTTACAATGTAATCAGTATTAAAAGAATTCTTTGATGGGAACACCAGTGTATAGCTTTGATGGGAACACAGTGTATAGCTGAAAGGGGAGGGTAAAACAGAGTTTTGTTAAAGCCATGTCCTCAAAGGCAACAGTAATGCAAGCAGCATCATATAATACTTATATCAGTAGTAATGACTTAAGTCATTGTGTTTGTGAATACTCATGATACATAATAGAACTATAACAGTTGACCCCACTAAATTGATTTCTTAAGGAAAGAGGAGGATCCAACGATTTTCACACAGTGAATAATATTTTTAGACAATTTTTTGTCTGAATAATTTATGACAAGTTATTGTGAAAAATATAAATGATGATAATACAACAAATTGAGCATTTTTGTATTGGCCTGCCCTAGGTCAATATTTGCTAACTCTTTCATTAAGTAAAGTCATGTATCAACCGCATCAAAATGTTGAAGATGTATGATACATTTCTGATATTAGGAAATAATATAAGGAAATTATTGTGTTCAATCCTGAGATTAAAAGTTTGAAATTGAACATTCAAACATTAGTATGTGTTCAGAAAAGCATAAGTAGGCGTACTTATCTTATTGTTGTAGTGTGGATGATAAAAACAATGTGTTATATTATTTTATTAGGAAAAACTATTATAATGAAGTAAGCATTAATTAGAGGGAGTCAGGACTCGGAAATAATTATTTTAGCTGTACATCCATGAAAAATTAGCTGTTTGTTGGATAGCTAGATAACTTGGGAAAATGATTTAACTCAGAAAAAGACCAAACTCTTCCAAACATTTGTCTGACAGTGGTACAATTGAATTAATGGATAAACAAGACTTGTCTTAACACTTTCACCCCTAGATAACTTTAGTGGACTCTACCGTACATTGATCTGGATGAGCCCATTATGGTCTACAGTGGAGAAAGGGTTAAACCAAGTATATGTTTAATATGGAGGCATTTATTGACACTTTTTCTGTTTCAAAATTACATGTTGATTATATATCATGAATGTGGTTTATATTGGCAATGAAGAAATTCTAAGGTACATGGATGGTGTTTTAATTGCTCGGTTGGAGAACTTTCTGTATATGATATAACTTCAGGCTTTAATAGTGTCTAAGTTCTACTGTCAGTCCTATTATTCCATTGTAATTGCACAATTTGTTATGTCATAGTATTATTGTCATGAGTATTTCAACCATATACCTTGTGTAAAAGTGACGGTCCTGTTTCATGTACGTGTAAATGAAATCAATATATAACCTTTTATGAAATCAACTATTACACGAACTATGTAGTAATCAGCGTGTGATGTAGTGATCTTTGTTCGTATGCCTGGATAGGTTTTGTTACTAATGTCCTGTCATGTCCATTCCGTCAGTAGCGACCTATTTTAATAAAAATAATATTGATAAAATATTATATAAAGGTCGAGAGAATACCTTGAATGAGATTGTCTTTTCTAAGGTCAAGGCCAAGGTCATTGTAATTATACATGTTAAACCAATTCATTGACATCACTCTAGCAACATGCTGTGTATCAGGAAATTTTGCCCCTTTTAATTTCTCTTGCCTTTTTCGCCCTCCCTAATAAAACCTAACTTATCATTACAGTGCAAAAAAATGGTGATAAGCGATATAAAAAAATAGTTATCAAATGTTAAGGCAAAATTAACAATAAATGTTATTACCCAATAGTCTATATAAATTATAATTAGACATTTTTGACTGTTTATGGCTTTTTGTCCAATTTCGACTGAAGGGGTGAAACAGTCAAATCTGTTTTCCCGGTCAGAGCGAACTGTTACCCAGCGCGAACTCGATGCGCAGAAATCTCCCCTCGAGAGCCCCCTTCAAGCGTTTCGGTGACAGCGACTCAGTGTTGAAGCAATGGCAACATTGCATGCAGAATTGATACTAATATTTATTTGGTAATAAAACAATTGTTTCATGGTTATTAGGGGAACAGTCAAAACTATCATCCCTCGGTAGGGGGAAGCCCTGTGGAACTGTTTGCCCTTGGCCTAGCGGCCTCGGGCAAACAGTTCCCCATGGCTCCCCCCTACCTCGGGATGATAGTTTTGACTGTTTCCCAAATAGCCATGAAACAATTGTATAATGATGGATTTTACCAGCAAAAGACAAAAATGTGTCTGGATGAAAGTTTCCAGGTACACAGTAATACTTACATGGATTCCTACTCCAGGACTGTAAAGGCCAATGTCATGTCACTTTCTCTGTTCATAGACATTTGTAAAACAATGACACGTCTTTGGTTGAGCACAGGGGCATTCATGTCTGAAGGACATTTTCTTGATCTTTAAATTACTTCCTTTTGAAATCTGAAAGTCTGAGACCTGGTATTTGGACAGTAGTTACTTTGAAGTTTAATCATGTAAATGACTGACCTATTTTGAAGGTCACATGAGTCAAAAAGGGTCTAGAGCCATGATATTTGGGCATGTTAAGTACTCCAACAGTGCAATTATCTTCATATACTGTGTTAAGGGCAGAGGTCAATGGCTAGGGTCAGTTATCAGAAAGCTGTAAAAATGGGTAAAAAATTTCAATAATCTTTTTTGTAGTCTCATTAGACTAAGGTTCCGAGCCCATTTCTAAACCTGAAATATGGACAAATCAGTTGTACTAAACTAACATATGTTGTTGTTTCATCAGATGTGCTGTAGGTTAGGATTGGTGTTCACTGATTAATGATAGTGAAATTCAGGCTGTGGATTCTGTAACAAACCTCTACCCTTCCATTTCTCTAGGTATTCTTCAAGGCTGTGGTTTCTGTAACAAACCTCTACCTTTCCATTTCTCTAGGTATTCTTCAAGGCTGTGGATTCTGTAACAAACCTCTACCCTTCCATTTCTCTAGGTGATATCATTGTTAAATGTACTAATGTTGTATGGTAAAGTTTGTATGTCCGGTTGATGTCATGTTGTAAAACGATGTAAAAATTTGGAAAAAATATTAATAAATAGGTTAGCAAGGTCTAACATAAGATTACCGTCAATATGGGAGCATTACATTTTTTGCCTACCATCATCAAATGGTTGGCAGTTCAAATTCCCTTTTGTCTGTGGTCCATCGTCTGTCTGTCATCTGTAAGCATTCTTGCTATTCCTAGTTCTTGAGAAGTACTGAGCAAGTTTTGGTGGTCATCAGTCTTTGTTAAATGGTCAAATGTCCTACTTGACTAGTGGTTACAGGTTAGTGTTGGTAATATCTGCGAGAGATCCACTCATTTTGTTTTTATTGGTAAACAATTAACACCAAACATGCACCTTAACATTTGATGATTTATATTTCAATTTCTTGGAAAGTGAAAATGCAGAATTTTGGATTTTTTTTATTAAGGTTTGATCAAAAGTCATCACTTGAGCATGAGGCAGTTACTAGTAATCTGACAATCTAATTGCTAGAAAAATATAAGGAGGAGTGAAAAAGGAAAAAGGCAACCTTCTCAGGGGCCGGGGGGGGGGGGGGGGGGGGGGGGGGGCGGTAAACTACAGTGGCCCATCATCCATATCGCTATTGCTCAGAAGTACTGAATGGGTGAGAAATGGTAATACTGTAACTTCAAAATGGTTTAAATTCCCATGTGATAACCATATGCTTGCCCAGGATGAGGAGACAAACACAATCATCCTATCAGAATTGTCTCACCGGTATGGCCCCACCCCTGGGGTGTTAGTCTCTCTGTCACAACATGGAAACAGTTGAGATCCCCACCCTAAAAGCATGAAGAAATAAGTACACATAAGAAATCAGGATTGCCCTAGGGGGTTAAGTGCTGCACTCCAAGTTTTATGTTCAATGATAAATAATTTACCTTGATTACTGAAATATCCAGGAAGGATATGCAGGCCCTATTGGTCTCTTGTTTCTTACTGAAATATCCAGGAAGGATATGCAGGCCCTATTGGTCTCTTGTTTCTTACTGAATTAAGGGGTGTTATTGTTCGTCTCATCACAACAACAAACTGTTACCATACTTCTCAGATGACGGTTCAGGCCCTACAACAAACTGTTACCATACTTCTCAGATGACGGGTCAGGCCCTACATGCCTCTTGTTGAATTATTCATGTTGTCAGTAAAATTATTGAAGTTAACAATTACATCCAGATCTATTTGGAAATTATAAAGGCGTCTCTTATGTATGTAAATATTAATCATGTTGTGTATATACTCAGATAAATTTAGTTTATCTGGCATAACTTGTCGAGTCAAATGAACAAAAACAAGACTAACCTTACCAGTGAGTGTGAACTGAAAGTGAGTTTTGTTGGAGTAAATCCATCTATTACACAGCTATAGATATAGTTATTGTTCTATCTGTAGGTAGTGTACTCCAGTCTGGACATCTAGTGCTCTGTAATAGCATCTCACTTGCCTTTTTGCAGCCTTATATCCCTAGAAGGAAACTGCATTTGTGAAAATAGGACTAAACCCATACTTCCAGATAAAGCTATAGCTACTTTCAATGTTGGGACTTAATAGGGTAATTAGAGATAGATGTTTAAATGCCTACCTTTTAGGTATGGGTCATGTGATTGTCTAATTTGGTACAAGGAGTCCCCTAGTGAAATGGACTGAATACTGCATATAAGACAAATGGCCCCTTATAGTAGAACTTGGGAGGTGATATACTTAGATACTTTACAGAATACTTCTTCAATAAGGGATGGAAAGGATGTCAGGTCCGAGTGATAGGACAGTGTAAAGTAGGAAGATGTCATGGTCGCACTGTATAGATGGACAATAGTTTAAATGTTTAAATTCAGTTCCCCGCTAATATGTATTCACAGCGAAAACATTTACATTGGCAATAACATTAAACAGCAATCATTTGGTTTACCTCATTGTCGTTAATCCACTAAAAAATACGGACAATGAAATGTATCTATGGTATTGCCATAGAATTGACATAGTTTACTGTCATCACTACTTATCCTCTGTTTGAATGGAACGGTTCGACCACTTTTAAACACAAGGTTTATAGCAGTGAGTTAAGCAGGAATAGAAACGTTGTGCTTACAACATTAAGACTTGAAGCTTCAACCGATGTAAACGGAAACTGTTTTGTGAAGTGTTGTTATATCCACCCAGCATTAGTTGTCCAGACTTGAGTACTTATAAGTATTAGTACAGAAATGTGTCCCCCAATATATATATGTGTGTAGGATGATTTGTGTAACACTGTGCCAAGAGACAACACGTTCGTGATTTATGTGTAGATTTGTAATATTTCAAACCATTCCTCTAGGGTATATATATATAATATTCTGTCATTATTCACACTTGTTTTCATGTTTTAAGATCATATTGTTTATGTATACTAATAATTCTGTATTTCTCCATTCGTAGTCCTCCAAAATATTGCATGGATATATGATGTTTTGTTGCAGAAAATTATCAAAATTATTGTTCATATATTTCCACTTAAGTTCAGTTGAAAAAGTTGCGTCTGGACAACCAACTACAGACTGTGCTGAAGTGATTGAGGAAGCACGAAGTGTGTGGCTTACTTTGTGTACAGTATGTATTGTTGATGGAGTAGTGGGATGATTAAATCGTACTGTAACGTTTTAGTGATGAAAGAAAGCAGAAGTGTGTGGTATACTTTATGAACAGTATATAATGTTTTTGGACTAGTGGATCTATTAAATCGTACTGTAACGTTTTAGTGATGAAAGAAAGCAGAAGTGTGTGGTATACTTTATGAACAGTATATATTGTTTTTGGACTAGTGGATCTATTAAATCGTACTGTAACGTTTAGTGCTTACTTCCCCATGGTCAGTATACACCTATGATATGCAAGTCTAACAGATATGATACAATGTAATGTTATATATAATGTTTACTTAGGTCACCCTTTCCCGTGATGATACAGTTAATCTTTCATTTTCCTCATCATTTCATATATTCAAATGTATATACATGTACGTGTACACAGTGTACGTGTGTAAATGATTTGTAATTCCTATTTGCCTATTAGTTCTAGTCGCAGACACAAGTGTGAAGTGTATGGACCGACTTACTTATATAAACATGGGTCCACCATCAAAAGTACTAATCATGTAAAATCAATGCTGAAATGACTTGCATTTTTTAATTAGCTTGAAGTATATCAAAGTCATTTTCTGTAATTAAACGTTTTACGAAAGACAAAAAAAAAAATCAAGTATATAACCACTTAAATAGTATCATTTATGTTTGTTTTTATGACCTGGACAGAGCACGAATATCTAAGTGGGGATTGAGGAATTAATAGGAGAGTAGGAATCCAGTTTGACATCTGTGTTACATTTAATTATGAACTTTTTCTTGTTTACTCTATATTTTATATAACTCGACGTTTGGCAAGATACAAATTGAGATAGAAGAGATAGAAGATAGAGCTGTATAATTGTGACCAGCGGATGTAATTTCTCTGTTCAAGTCTGGTATTGCCGTTTTGAATGACGGAAATAAGAAAATAATCTAGACAGGATATATATGCATAATAATCGTATAAGGCAAAAAGGGGGAAAGGTTGATTTTATCACCTGGTGAGAATTTTATATCGTTTTGTGTTGTCTACAATTTATTCAAACGACGTTTCATGATTTGGTGCAACTATTTAGAACAGTCGTAAAATGATTATAATTTACAAAAACAAAAAACAAAAAACAAACAAAAAAAT